CGCGGTCGGCGGCCTCGGGCTCTGGGGGACCCCGAGAACCTGTTAGGGCGCCGCTCAAGACCCGAGTGAGGGACGTGACCATGCTCAGCAGCAACGTGGGCGGGACAGCTCCGGGCGGGGCCTCCTCCTGGCGGCGAGCAGACCACCCGCGTCCTCCGCGCCTACGTGGGTGAGAGCGCGCTCGGCCAGCGCCGGCTCTTGGCGGGGAGCGGGAGCCGGAGCGGGAGCGGGAGCCGNCCGGAGCCGCAGCCGACGCCCAGGGCACTTTGGCCGAGCGCACCGGTGCAGGCGGGCTGGGTGCGCGCCCTCTATGTGCCCACGGCTCCGGGACCCTGGTTCAGGAAGGAGGCGCCCCATGAGGTCCGACCCCGAGGCCGCGTCGCCATCATGAGTGAGCCCAGAGAGCCGAGGGAGGACCCGGCAGCCCGGCCCTTGGAGCTGCCCTCCGGGGAGTTCGCTTTGGTGGAAGGGTGGAGGCCGCCCGCGGGGTCGCCATGCTCAGGGGCAGCACCAGGAGCTTCAACGTGCCCGTGTGCAAAGCTGCCCAGACCTCCGCGGTGGAGGGTGAAGAAATTGTGGCTGTGGGGTCGTTTGCCCCAGAAGACATTCATGTTCCTACAATTTATGTGGATCGCGTGATACAGGGGGAAAGTCCGAGATATGAACTGAGCGGTTAACAATCCGGATGGAGGGAGATGGACAAGCCGAGCCTGCAGATGACAAGGGCGCGGATCCTCAAAGGGCAGCTCTTGAATCTGAGGGTGGCGCGGATGCCCCCTTGGGCACAGGAATCCCTCTTCTGACCACCGACTACACCGCCCCATATAACCGCTCATCTTCACATGAACTGGGATCCTGGGCTTGGGTCCCTTTCCATCAAAAGGGGAGGTGGCCGCAGATCTCACCAGTGCAGGCGAGCAAACAGTCACCACTCTTCCCGGGGGCAGTTTTGTCTCCAGCGATGACTCATTTCCTATGATCCGAGGGGACACATCCAGCTAACCCTGCCAGGAGCCATGCAGGTTTCCAAATACGGTGACCTGGCTAAGTGGATGATCCCTGGAAGGAAGGCGAAGGGAATGGGGGGTGCGACGGATTTGGTGTCCAGGATCAAGACCAGAGTAGCGGTCACCATGGAGCACTGCACCAAGGCCAGGGAACCCACGATCTTGGAGAAATGCACGATGCCCCTGACTGGGAAGAGGTGCGTGGACGAGTCACCACGGAAAAGGCCGTGTTTGACGTGGGCAAGAAGGAAGGACTGGTGCTGACTGAGCTCTGGGAAGGCCTGACGGTGGAGGACATCACGGGAGTGCCTTTGTCATCTCACCCAATGTCACACCCATGCAGCAGGTGACAGCCTAACTGGGAAGGAGACCTTGCTCACAGAGACTGTTTTTCATTTTAACCTCAGGATTTCATCCAAAGGAAGTTGGAGATCACATTTATCCATTTCACAAACAACCTGACTAGTTTTCAACTGGGATCTCAGGCTTTCTATCGCTCGGAAGACTTTGTTCTCTCAAGAGGAAAATGACTTTAAATAAAACCACAGGAAAACAGAGTTTATCTTGTGTGTTCTGTGAGTACTCAGAAGGCTCTGCTACAGTCGTTGAGGACACTGGATGCCCTCTTCACTGTGATGTTTACGTAAATCTGTGCAGCTTCAGATGACTCCTTGGGAAGGATTTCTTCCCTCACGAACGCAGGGGGAAATGATGAGGGAGGGAACACTCCTCCCAGAACAGAGCTAAGGCCCCACTTACTGGTACTATGAAAAACACACAAACGTAAGTGTCAGCCCTGGCCGGTGAGGCTCAGTTGGCTGAGCACTGCCCCGTGCACCAAAGGTTGCTGGTTCGATTCCTGGTCAGGGCATATACCCAGGTTTCGGGTTTGATCCCCAGGCGGGGCGCGTATGGGAGGCAACTGATCGATGTTTCTCTCCCACATCAGTGTCTCTCTGTGTGTCTCTCTCCCTTTCCCTTCCTCTCTAAAATCAATAAAAACACATCCTCAGGGGAGAACTAAAAAACAAACAAACAACAAACAATAAAAAAACACATAAAGTCAGTTTGTGACTGGAAGATATGCTTTCTGCAAGAAATACTTTCCTTTGGCCCTTCTGACTTTTCTGCTGGGGCCTCTCATTTTGTTGCTAAATTTTGTTTCCCTGTAGCCTCACTCTCTCTTCCCCACACCTGTCTCCTCCTCATAGCTAAATAGATGTCTCCAGAAGGAAAGGAAGACCACCTTGGTGGGACAGTGACCTGGTAATGGGAGCTACTGAAGGGGAGAGACTGTTGGTGCTGACATGCCACCAGGAAGTTTCCTCCATAAATAGTCCACCTGTGTGTTGCCAAAGGCTGTGGCTTATGTTAGGAGGAGTTCTAGAAACCTAACCGAGGGACTCAGATGGGTTTTCTCATTTTAACTCATAGTGTTCCTGTGTCATCCTGAACAGACACTTAGATCCTTCCTCTCTGTTGTCGAGCCCGAACTGGCCTCTTGCTAATATTCTCTTATAATCCAAGAGGGGCTGTGAGGTATTTCGTCCTGAATCCTTAGTCTCAAAGATTTAAAAGAAACAACTGAGTTTATATGCGGGAGAGGTTAGGAGGGATATTAAAGCCTGACTTAGAGCTCCCGCTTCCTAACCTTAGCTCTAGGGGCCGCACTCCCCACATGAGCCCCTGGGTAAGAGCAGGAAATTAATTCCATCTGGTCAAGGAAGGCCTTTCAGAGAGGCCTCACTGGGGCCTCACCCCCAAGAAGGGGACAGAGCCTGGAATGGAGAGGTAGGGGACAGAGCTCTGAGGGCAGCCTGGGGGTGTGGGGGGAAGTGGCCAGAGACCATGGACCAGATGGGGGTGGGTGGGATGGAATGTCATTGAGTGGACAGGGGACATCTTTGGGGGCTTCTGGGCAGATGTGCCCTGGGTGTCAGGAGAACTTCCCAGCAGCATGTGGAACAGGCAGAGGTTTCCAGGGGCAGACAAGTTACAGGGCTATTAAGCAGAAGGAAGGAAAAGGACTGTTTCCCATCCCCATGGGACAAAAGCAGACCAGGTCCACAGCTGGGATCTCTCCCAGGTGTCACCAGGCATCCTGAGTGTCCTTCAAGGTGGCACCGGGGTTACATCCATGACTTGGCTGAGGTGAAGCATTGGCTGCAGGGAAGGGCCAGGTGGCGCCCAGAGCAGAAGGAAGCCTGGGGGAGAAATGACAGCCATCTTGGCCTGGCACAGTTGGGCGTATGAATTAGGGGTGACACCTGCCCTGGGACAGGATAGGGCAGGTGAGCTGCCAAGACATCTGGGCCCTGATGGGGCAGACTGGGAAATGGGATGAGACTAGTCTCATGGGGCCCACCTGGCTCAGAGGAGCAGCATCTTCCATCTGGGCCTAAGGGGGAAGGCCTGCATGGCCTACAGCTCCAGGCAGGGCCACACATACCCTGTCAACTGCAAAGGGGACAGCATGCCTGCCAGCACCCTCACAAGGTCAGGTCTAGAGGGGGGCCCCTGGGCCCCAGAGGCTCCTAAGCTCCCATCAGGTCCTTTCTGGAAAGGGACCGGGCAGAGCTGGGCAGCCTAGGGGCCCACCAAGAAGACAGCCAGGAGAAGGCAGGGCGCCCTGCTCAAGACAGATGGGCAAAAAGCAGAGCCCTTTGGGAGGGGAGCTCTGGGCTCTGGAAGGAGGCCCTGGGGATCCTTTCCCAGGCCTCCTGCTTCGGCCCCTCTGAAAGATCAGGGGTGAGTCCCCTAGTCCCCCACCGCCCCCAGGCCAGGCTCCTGCAAGGTGTGCTGGGAAGGGTAGGGCTGTCTTGGCTGGGTTGCAGCTTGCTTGGGACCTTGAACAGATGCTGCTCTCACTGGGCTTAGTCTCTGCTTCTGTAAAGTGGGAACCTAGGATCAGCTTCTTCAGGATCCTCAGTCATGCGCCCCAGTGCCCCACACAGGCCTGTCTCAGTGACGCGCTGTCTCAGTGGCCTTACCTAGTTGATCTACTGTGTCATTCCCTCTGAGCCCAGGAGACCCCAATAAGATCCTTGAACAGACAGTTGCACAAAGAAAAGCCAACAGTGAGCATAGCCTCAGGGGACCAATCAGTCCTTCTGGGCCCTCGGTGGACAGGGCTCTCCAGGGACAGGGACAGGGCAGCGGGATGCACAGGCCTGGAGGGCTGCCTGGGCCAAGGCTGTCCCCATGTGTCTGTCAGCCGGGCCATGGAGCTCCACTCCAGCGCCACCGTGATGACACGAGTCCCCATCTGCTCTCATTGCTCCTGTCCTGGCCTCACTGGCCTTTCCCTTCTGCTCGCAGAGCTCCCATGTGTCCTGGGGCCTGTGTCCCCGTGGTCCTGCTTCTTCCTCTTGACTGTAACTTGCCATGACCCAGACTCTCCCAAATGGCTTCTGTCTGGGCTCCTTCCAGCAACAGTTCCTGTCTCTACAGCCTCCTGTCTTAGCAGGTTCAGTCCTGCGTGGAGCCTCTGATGGGCCCGGCAGGTTGTTTGGTGGCAGGTGATGTCATAGGTCAAAGGTTAGTCTCAGGATTCATTAGGTGTTCAGTTCACTAAGGGCCATGGGCACAGGTCTGAAGGACAACTGTTTAAGAGCAGACCTTTGAGCAGGACTGTGGGTGGGGCAGGCAATGTCCTTGACCTGTAGTGTGTAATGGAGAATCATATTAAATCTGCTAATGGAACAAATATATATACCTACCTATGTGTACATGTGCACACTGTCTATAGAAATACATGTGTGTTTGTGTGCAGACATACGTGCGCATGTGTGTGTAACTGTTGCAACACGGAGGGAAATGTACAGGGAAGTGGAACAGTTGGCACTGTGTTTGAGAAACAGAAAAGTGAGTTAGTAACCTCACTCCTGTTGTTAAAATTCCACAGGGAAAGGAAATGAAGAGGTTCCATGTCATTCTCTGTGTAATGAAAGCCGGGAAGGAACCTGAATCTCTCATGATAAGCGAATCTCTAAGTAAATTAGGGTGTGTGAGGGGTATTTTTTCTCGAGTCTCTTTACAGTTGTTATTATATTACTTTGACAATTAAAACATCAAGAGGTCATCTGGGAATACAAAGAAGTCCAGGAAGATAGTCTCCTTGGTGGAGTTGACATTTGCAGGGCTAATGAGTGTTTTTCACGGCGGCCTCAGACTTTAAGNACTTTGACAATTAAAACATCAAGAGGTCATCTGGGAATACAAAGAGGTCCAGGAAGATAGTCTCCTTGGTGGAGTCGACATTTGCAGGGCTAATGAGTGTTTTTCACGGCGGCCTCAGACTTTAAGCGGCTGTGGGTAAAATTCCATTTTTATAGACCTCACTACTCCCAGGGCTGGGGGCCCAATCATGTCTCTGCCCGCAGTCCTCTCTTTCTTTTTTAACCACTAACTGGCCTTGTGGATAAGAACTTGGGCTCTGAAATTAGACCGATGTGGGTTAAACCCAGGCTCTGGGACTTTGGTCCAGTGTCTCTGCCCACTGAGCCTGGGGTCTGTCTGTGGTGTCAGGAAACAGTGAGTGCCCTGCTCTTGGGCCCCGCTTGGCAGACCAAGCCCTGGCCAAGCCCTGGCAGCTGCTCCAATCAGCTGGGTATCATCAATCCTACATGAACACCCCCAGAGGAGGGGGAAGGCAGACCCCAGGCCTAGGAGTCCTCAGACCGAGGTGGGTCCCAGCTATGTGGCTCCGGGACATCACGGAGTGACTCTGAAGGGTCTCAGTAACATAGGAGGTCCAGGATTACTGTGAAGACGAGTGAGATCATCAGTGAAATAACATTGAAACCTGTAAAATGCTCCACGAATGGCAGTGTCCACGACTGTCACTAATACTGACCCTGGGGCCACGAGGCCCTCCTCCCACGATCTCCTTCAGACCTGCCTGCTGGGGGCAGGGGGCTGGACTTGGGACTCCGGCCTTCAGATAAGGAAGCCAAGGTACAGTGGGTCCCCTCAGGTCCTCAGCCTCCATGCTCCTGGGCCCGCCCTGGCCCTGGCAGAGTCGCCTGCTCTGTCCACGTGCAGAGCCACTGCCCTCAAGTGACCGCCCTCTTTCCTCTCTCTGTCTCAGGGCGCAGTGTGGATCCTGGCCTGGCCGGTCTGCTGGGGCGACGGGCACCACGCTCCAAACAGCCTTTCATGGTCACCTTTTTCAGGGCGAGCCCCAGCCCCATCCGGGCCCCTCGGGCAGTGAGGCCCCTGAGGAGGCGGCTGCCGAAAAAAACCAACGAGCTGCCGCAGCCCAACAAGCTCCCGGGGATCTTCGGTGAGGTCCGGGGTGGCCCAGGTTGAGGCCCACAGGCTTTGGCTGAGAACCAGTGGTAGTGACAGAATCTTCTGGCCCTCAGAAGGGGCCAAACCAGTGGTCACCCTCCAGCCACCTTTCCTGACACCCTCCTGTGCCCCATGACCCTGTGGACCTGCCACTGCACTGTCTCTCAGGCCTCCCTGCCACCCGGAAGCCCCTTCTCTGCCCTCCCCTGGCTCACCAGGCCTTCCCCAAAGTCTGTCAGAATCAGGTGCCCTTCCTCAGGGCAGCACCGCCCATGGGCCTCTGCTCTCTCCCAGGCTCCCTGCAGGATGCATAGCTGTTTAGGCGAAGGTCTCCCCACCAGGCAAGACCCTCAGGATCAGGCACAGGCCTGACCCCACCATGTGCCTTCCTTTCCTTCATGGGAATCGGCCTCAGTATGAGCCACTCGACCTGTGCAATGGGTATGGCAGGACAGGTGGGGTGAGGCCAGGAGGTGCCTTGGGAAGAAAGGAGAAGGTGCCACAGTCTGATGGCAGAAAGGTCCCTTGGGGCTGTTTATTGGAGCATCAGGAGGCCCACAGGCTGAAAGCTGGAGAGGCTGGGCTGAGCATGGGCTTACCCTGGAGACACTGGGAGCCATAGAAGTTTCTTGAGTTGGGTCATGGTACCAGCAGTGCTGCAGGGATGGGCTTTATGAGACCAAATGGTTTAGTTTTCCATCATTCATTTATTCCACAAATGTGCCCATCAGGGCATCCCCTGCCCTGGGAGCCCCCATGGTAGCTGCACAGAGCAGAGTCCCAGAAACGTCCTTGCATGTCTGTCCCCTGCAGATGATGTCCATGGCTCCCACAGTCGGCAGGTGTGCAGTCGGCATGAGCTCTATGTCAGCTTCCAGGACCTCGGCTGGCTGGTAATTTCTACTCTCCCTTCTTAATGACGATCCCCACCTGAGGATTGTAAGTGTATCTCCAGGANTGATTGGCTGGTAATTTCTACTCTCCCCTCTCTTTCTTTTTTCTTTTTTAAAATATATCTTTATTGATCTCAGAGAGAGGAAAGAAGAGGGAGAGAGAGCGATAGAAACATCAATGATGAGAAAGTCATTGATCAGCTTCCTCCTGCACGCTCCCTACTGGGGATCAAGCCCGCAACCCGGGCATGTGCNCGGCTGGCTGGTAATTTCTACTCTCCCTTCTTAATGACGATCCCCACCTGAGGATTGTAAGTGTATCTCCAGGAGGAGGCAGAATCGGGGAACTTTATTTTCTCCTGTATTTTCTTCTGTGTTTTCCAAGTTTTCTAAAAGGAGAGTGTTACTTTTATAGTGGAAAAGTGCTTTTTGGCNTATCCCCTGGGCCCTAGGTTGTTGCTCAACCGCTGAGCCACACCAGGCGGGCTCCCTGCTCCTTTTTAATTGATAATCCCCACCTGAGGATTGTAAGTATCTCCAGGAGGAGGCAGAAGAATCGGGGAACTTTATTTTCTCCTGTATTTTCTTCTGTGTTTTCCAAGTTTTCTAAAAGGAGAGTGTTACTTTTATAGTGGAAAAGTGCTTTTTGGCAAAAACTATGAAAATGGCGAAATCTGAATCCTGAGCCATGAAATGTCAGAGCTACAACAGGGAAACGAGACCAGGGTGGCAGTGCCTCTGTGCTTCTGCAGCAACAGCAGCTACAGGAGACGTGGGCGCGGGGACCAGGCGGGAGGACTGTGCTGGGTGCTGATGGCAGCTGTCGGGACAGAGCTTATTTCCAGCCACGTCTGCTGAGGGTCTGGGGGTGGATGTCAGCCTTCTGGGGTCCTGCCCCAGGAGGGGCCGGAGGGTGGGTTGACAGGTCCCTGAGGCTGCGTGAAGGAGGGTGAGGGGCAGCCCTGAGTCCTCCTGTGATGGGTGCTGGGAGGAGGGGCTGGGAGGGGCCACATGGGTGGGACTCACCTTCTTCCATTCCCCCCTCAGGACTGGGTCATCGCCCCCCAGGGCTACTCAGCCTATTACTGTGAGGGGGAGTGCTCCTTCCCGCTGGACTCCTGCATGAACGCCACCAACCATGCCATCGTGCAGTCCCTGGTCAGTACCCAGCCTGTCCCGCCGGGACCCCTGATCC